TTTTGTTTTTGTTTGTTTCTGAGACAGAGTCTCACTCTGTCACCCAGGCTGGAGTGCAGTGGCGTGATCTTGCCTCACTGCAACCTCTGCCTCCTGGGTTGGAGCAATTCTGCCTCAGCCTCCTGAGTAGCTAGGATTACAGGTGTGCACCACCACGCCCAGCTAATTTTTGTATTTTTATTGATTGATTGATTGATTTTGAGATGGAGTCTCTCTCTGTCGCCCAGGTTGGAGTACAGTGGCGCCATCTCAGCTCACTACAACCTTGGCCTCCCGGGTTCAAGCAATTCTCCTGTTTCGGTCTCCTGAGTAGCTGAGATTATAGGCACACACCACCATGCCTGGCTAATTTTGTATTTTTAGTAGAGATGGGGTTTCATCATATTGGTCAGGCTGGTTTTGAACTCCTGACATCGTGATCTGCCCACCTTGGCCTCCCAAAGTGCTGGGATTACAAGTGTGAGCCACTGTGCCCTGCCTGGCCAGAGAAGCATCTTTGAGGGGTTATCTATGCTCTGGGCACTATTTCCTTTATGAGGGGTAATCTGTGCAACAGGCATTGTTTAAAGACTTTGCTGCAGAACACCTTGGTATGCAGTAGTCAAACCACCAGTTAGCATGGTAATTTCTCTCAAAGATGAGTCACTCAACAGGCTCTTCTACAGGTTTTTTTTTTTTTTTTTTTTTTTTTTTTTTTTTTATAGAGTCTCACTCAGTTGTCCAGGCTGGAGTGCAGTGGCATGATCTCTGCTCACCGCAACCTCTGCCTCCCAGGTTCAAGCAGCAATTCTGCCTCAGCCTCCCGAGTAGCTGAGGTTACAGGTGTGCACCACCACACCTAGCTAATTTTTTTTGTATTTTTAGTAAAGATGGGGTTTCACCAAGTTGGCCAGCCTGGTCTTGAACTCCTGATCTCAGGCGATCCACCCACCTCGGCCCCCCAAAGTACTGGGATAACAGGCATAAGCCACTGTGCCCGGCTTCTAGTTTTAATTCTAATTCTGTTACTATGTGAACTTTGGTAAGACACCTGGTGTTTAAACTTTCTACTTGGCAGGGGCAAAATGGTGGGAGAAGGGGAATGAAAAAAAAAATCTAACTGAAAAAATATATTGTAAAGATAAAAAATGTCTAACATTGTCATATTGGTAGTGTTTTAAATGTGGCTGTGCCAAGTCTGAGCATACCCTGAAGGCATGGACAGGATGTATGCCAGGCCTGTGATAATGGTAGAAATTTTTGGGCACTGACTATGCTTCCTGTTGTCTGAATAGACATGGGGGCAATTACAGAAAAGTGGCTGAGAGCCCAGGACAGAGAAAATAAAGGGGAGGCACAGCCGCAGCCTCTGTGACTTGGCATTTTACCACGTCAGGACCCTCTTGTCTTTGTGAAACTAGAAGGGGCCCTTCGGCAGCTGCTGCTGCATAAACCTTAAATAATATTGAAAAGGGTTGATATGAGAAATGAAGAGGAAGAATAGGACTCTGCTAGGTCTGGCTAGTTGGAAGCTTGAGGCTAGTCAATTGTGTGAGCTAGCAATCTATTAACTTGATGTTAAGGAGGAGGACAGGCTGTTCTCTCAGTGTGGGTGAGGCTCTATTAAAGAGAGAGCCGATGTGGGTCAGGTGTGGGAGGTAGTAAGACACTAAAGAATTGTTAATGAGACACTCCTCATGTGGGTGAAGGCTCATAAAAGCTCGCTCTCCTGAGCTGGGATATGTTCCAGCCTCAGGTAGATACGAGTGAGGCTGATTCTGCCACGATTAGCAGTTACTTAAAAATAAAAAAATAAAAAAAAAAAAATGTGGTCTTATTCTTGGATCTGAGTCTGAGTTTCAGCTCAGCTGCAGTAAAGCACTCCAGGGCACGCCAAATGCTGTGTATTCACTGAAGGTTCCTGTTTGTCTCTTCCAGCTTCTGCCTCCTGCTCCTGGTACCTAATTTCTGCTCCTGCCTTCCACTTTCCTCCTAATGTGAGCTCAACTTTCAGCTTTCTCACAGGTTCTCCTTTCCTTCTGTTCCCTGGGCTGCTTCCCCTCCCACGGTGTGTGCCTCCCCTCAGTGTGTTTGTGATGGAGGTGTGGTCTGCCTCCCTCCATTCCCCCTTAGCAGAACAGTATCCGTCTCCTTTTTTCCCATGGGAAGTTTCTGTCTCCTGCTGTGTCTTTACCAATCAAAATGAGTACTTCCTCTGCTACATCTATTTCAAGTGTTGAAAATACAGAATTCCTGGCCAGGCATGGTGGCTCACACCTGTAATCCCAGCACTTTGGGAGGCCAAGGCAGGTGGATCACAAGGTTAGGGGTTCGAGACCAGCCTGACCAACATGGTGAAACCCCGTCTCTACTAAAAATACAAAGATTAGCCAAGTGTGGTGGCACGCTCCTGTAGTCTCAGTTACTTGGGAGGCTGAGGCAGGAGAATCGCTTGAACCCAGGAGGCGGAAGTTGCGTGAGCCAAGGTTCTGCCACTGCACTCCAGCCTAGGTGAGAGCACAAGACTCCATCTCAAAAAAACCCAGAATTCTCTCTCTGCAACTGAAAATGACTTTTAATCTAATAAATACATTTGTACTACTTTTACATTATGTGTTGTGACTTTTACAGGCTCTCTCCAATAGCTTCCATTATACTCTCACACCAAAAATTTATTCTGCTTTTTAATGTCTCTCCTTTTGTTGTTGTTGTTGTTGTTTCTGGGACAGTCTCAACCTGTCTCCAAGGCTGGAGGGCAGTGGTGAGATCTCAGCTCACCGCCACCTCTGCTTCCTGGGTTCAAGTGATTCTTGTGCCTCAGCCTCTCGAGTAGCTGGGATTACAGGCACCTGCCACCATGCCTGGCTAATTTTTGCATTTTCTGTAGAGACGGGGTTTCACCATGTTGGCCAGGCTGGTCTCAAACTCCTGACCTCAAGTGATCTACCTGCCTCGGCCTCCCGGAGAACTGGGATTACAGACATGGGCCACCTCACCTGGCCAATATGTCTCCTACCTAGACAAAGACCTAGTCCTTTTAGAGAAAACTTAATTAAAACCCTGCAAAGATATCTCCATTTAGCAGTGTCCATATAAGACAAAAAGAATTCTGAGCTCCAAATACTATAACGTGTTAATTACTTGCAACAGCATTCATTACAGTAACATTTGGTCATATTTAAATACCTCCCTTATGCTTGGTAAACTAGGTTGTAGCCTGTGGTCTTTTGATTCTTTAGATGTTTCTTTTTAAGACACTGCCCCTAGAATGAAGCAAAGTACTGGTAACTAGCCGCTTCCCCTCAGCTTTGCTCCTTCCTTCCCAAATCCCCTGGGCACTACTTGGGAGTTTACCACTAATTTTATTAAACTTCCTTTTATAGATTTCTTCCTTTATTTTCATTTTGTGCACATTTTTTTGCTCTCATTTCCTGCCCAAATCTACTTGGAAAATGATTTCTATTTTTTGCTTTACCTCCTAGTGAATCATGTGGCAAGTGAACCAGCAGTCTGAATTTTTATGGGCCTGTTTTGGGATTTTTTACTCAAAATTCTATTTTGCCCATAACCTGGTTCATTTTAGGCGTAATCATCCAGGTCCTGGGCCTTGGGATTAATTTGCATTACTTACCATCATGTGTTTTCTGGTGAGAGTCCAGACTGATCGTAGCAGCAAAAGGGCCTCCTAATTGCTGATGAGAGCTTCCGGGCCACCTAAGCTGCCTCCTGCATCTACTGGTTGAGGTGGTTGTGTTGGGCAAGTCAAGGGTTAACTCACATATATCTAGGGACTTTGTATTCCAACCTCCCCACCTCTTAGTAGCCATGTAACTATTTACTTTTTTTTTTTTTTTTTTTTTTTTTTGAGACAGAGTCTTGATCTGTCACACAGGCTGGAGTGCAGTGATACAATCTTGGCTCACTGCAACCTCCGCCTCCTGGGTTCAAGTGATTCTCATTCTTCAGCCTTCCGAGTAGCTGAGATTATAGGAGTGCAGCACCATGACTGGCTAATTTTTGTATTTTTAGTAGAGACGGAGTTTTTGCCATGTTGGCCATGCTGGTCTCAAACTCCAGACCTGGTACTCCACCCACCTCGGCCTCCCAAAGTGCTGGGATTACAGGTGTGAGCCACCCTGCCCAGCCGATGTAACTATTTCTTATCATGTAAAAGCTTACAATATTTTTGGAGTTCTGGCTTTTACCAATGCTAGAATCCCAACTCTTTTATTTTCTTTAGGATGGAGTTTATCAAGTAGAACCGCTATGCCCATGTTTGTTCCAACTTTACAAACAGTTCACGAATTCCCAGTCATTGATAGATTAACCAGTGCATTTGCCATTGCATTAGTTTTACTCGCCATTGAGTTTTAGAAATATTATAGAAACTATAGCTTTAATGGGCTATGCTTCCTTCTGGTGTCCTAATAAAATAGTTTATGTCTCTTATAAATTATTCCACTTGTGTGTCAGTTTTGACTTGTTTGAAATATTATGCCTAGTTGATTGAACAAATCAAGATTATAAGCAGAGCAGAATAAAAGGGGCTTTACTGAAATGTCTTTCCTAATTCCCAAAGCCAAATAAATGCTCTCCTCTCCTTGAAATTTATCCCTGAATAAATTTAGAGATCTGTGTTGTGTTTACTTGGCACTTGAATCAAGTATCTTTCTTCTGTGTGTGATAACATTTTCTCCTGATCCCTGCCCCCTCCCCCGCCCCTTCCCCCATCTCCTGCTCCTAACATTTTTTATGTGGGTGTGGTCATGACTCGTCTAAGCCTTTCTCTACAATTCAGACCTAGCTCCACCTATCCTTGTTGTCCGCTATGTTTAGAGCAGCCAGTTTGGGAAGGGAATGTCTAGAGAGCCTCTTGGCTTTGCAGAGTCAGCCGATAGAACTGTAACAGGTTTAGTGTTCTGTGAGAATTGACTGACCAGCTAAGTAAATTCTAGGGCCCATCTCAAGACAGTACTAACTCATCACTACCCATGCTAAAGTTGTCCTTTGCCTTTTCCTAGAAGTTTCAGGCACCTGCAAAAGAGACCTGTGTGGAATGTCAGAAGACAGTCTATCCAATGGAACGTCTCTTGGCCAACCAGCAGGTGTTTCACATCAGCTGCTTCCGTTGCTCCTATTGCAACAACAAACTCAGGTAAGCCAGCCCAAAACAAGCCATCACTCTGTAACTGCAGCTCTTGAAGGAGTCTTTGGCTTTTAGAGCACTAGTACTAAAAGCTACTGTGCTAATGATGTTCTGTTGAAGGCTCTTGAATAAAGTAAAAAGAAACATTTGGTGACAAGTCTTTCCTACCAAATAATGGTATGAAACTTCCTTTTACAGAACTTCTTGGTATATTGATACGTTAATTTACATGTTAGTACTGAAGCTTAAATCATATGGGTTGCAAGTAAAACCCCCTGTGACCTAATTTGGTAGAATGTTTTCCCTTGGTATCATAGAATCACAAAGTTAAGAAATCTCAAGAGGTTACTTGCTTAAGCCATTGCTTGTCATAAGCACTGTATAAATGATAATAATGGCAATAATCATAGCCCCTGGAGAGCATGTCTTTTTCTCTATGTTGCCTCACTTTATTTCTGAGACATTAAATTGTTACGTATCATTTCTTCCAAGTAACTCAAAGTACAAACATAAATGTGACAAATTGGGGAAACATTCCAAATTAACTCATTTTAATCATAGTCTTACAGAAGGAAGTAACCAAGATGTCACTTTCTCCAGCTTTCCTTCCCGATCAAGCATCCCTCCTAAAATACTCTTGAAAGATGTTCTGGCATCTACGTGGCATTTCTAGTTATTAGATAGCTCTAGCTAGACAGCTTCTCCAAACATGAGCCAAAGCATACCTTGGTAACTTCCACTCATTAGTGCTTTTTCTGCCCACTGTGTTAATTTTTTCTCCAAAGCACCTTATTTCTTTTGTGCAACTGCTGCTGTTTTATACCCCCTTTAAAATGTGTCATTCTTCAGAACAGTTCGTAACTTAAGGGAAAGACCTTAAAAAAAAAAAAAAAGATAAAATTTGTCATCCTGCAAGAGACACCACCAAATCTCCTAAAGGCTTGTCTAGGACTGACGTTAGGGCAAGACTACCTCCTGTCAACTCCTCACCATTCTTCTGTTAATCACAGCTTACATCTAGGTGTGGTGGCTCAAACTTGTAATTCTAGCACTTTGGGAGGCCCAGGTGAGGATCACTTGAGGCCAGGAGTTCAAGACTAGCCTGGGTAACACAGAGAGACCCCATCTGGTTCTTCTTTGTGAGACAAAGTCTTGCTTTGTTGCCCAGGCTGGAGTGCAGTGATGCCATCCTGGCCCACTGCAACCTCCATTTCCCAGATTCAAACAATTCTCATGCCTCAGTCTCCAAGAGTGCTGGGATTACAGGCGTGTACCACTATACCCAGCTAATTTTTTTTCCCAGAGACGGAGTCTTGCTCTGTTGCCAGGGCTGGAGTGCAGTGGCACGATCTCAGCTCACTGCAACCTCTACCTCCCAGGTTCAAGCAATTCTCCTGCCTCAGCCTCCTGAATATCCAGGACTACAGGTGTGCTACACCCAGCTAATTAAAAAAAATTAGCCACGCCCAGCTAATTTTTGTATTTTTAGTAGAGATGAGGTTTCACCATGTTAGCCAGGCTGGTCTCAAACCCTGACCTCAGGCAGTCTACCCGCCTTAGCCTCCCAAGGTGCTGGGATTACAGGCATGAGCCACCACACCCGGACCAATTTTGTATTTTTTAGTAGAGACAGGGTTTCACCATGTTGGTCAGGCTGGTCTTGAACTCCTGACCTCAAGTGATCCACCCACCTCAGCCTCCCAGTGTGCTGGGACTGCACCCAGCAAGGGAACCCTATCTCTATGAAAAATTTTGGGAGGCTGAGGCTGAGGCTGGAGGATCATTTAAGCCTTGGAGTTCAAGGCTGCAGTGAGCTATGATCTTACCATTGTACTCCAGCCTGGGTGACAGAGCAAGACCTCAACACAAAAAAAAAAAAGAAAAAGAAAAGGGGCTGGGTGCAGTGGCTCACGCCTGTAATCCCAGCACTCTTGGAGGCCAAGGCCAGATCACTTGAGCCCAGGAGTTCAAGACCAGCCTGGCCAACATGGTAAAACCCATCTCTATTAAAAAATACAAAAATTACCGGGCATTGTGGCTCACGCCTGTAATCCCAGCACTTTGGGAAGCTAAGGCAGGTGGATCACCTGAGGTCAGGAGTTCGAGACCCACCTGACCAACATGGAGAAACTTCGTCTCTACTAAAAATACAAAATTAGCCAGGCGTGGTGGTGCGTGTCTGTAATCCCAACTACTTGGGAGGCTGAGGCAGGAGAATCACTTGAACGCAGGAGGCAGAGGTTGCGGTAAGCCGAGATTGTGCCATTGCATTCCAGCCTGGGCAACAAGAGTAAAACTCCATCTCAAAATAATAATAAAAATAATACAAAAATTAACCAGGTGTGGTGGCATACTTCTGTAATCCCAGCTACTCAAGAAGCTGAGGCAGGAGAATTGCTTGAACCTGGGAGGCAGAGGTTGCAGTGAGTCAAGATTTTGCCAATGCACTCCAGCCTGGGCGACAAAGCAAGACTCTCTCAAAAAAAAAAAAAAAGAAAGAAAAAAGAAGTGTGTGTGTGTGTGTGTGTGTGTGTGTGTGTGTTTTCATGTGTCATTAAGTATAGAGTTAATTCAAGCACAAAAACTTGATGATGGTTACCCAGAAACACTGACTCCCAATGAATAGGGTCAGCATTCCAAGGTGGAGAGTTAGTTTCACTTACATAGAAAGTTTAGCAAAAGTGTGGCATTTTCCATATAAGACCAGTGCATATATAATAGTGATTTGATTGGTTACAGATTGTGACATTCCAAGGAAGATTATTACTCTGTAAAGGAGAGATAATGATCTGAGGGGGGTCTTATCTCTGGTGCCCTTTGGTCTTCATTATTTACAGGGAAAAGAAAGAGTTGCAGCTACATGCTGTGTGACCCAGGCTGCATAGCCACATTGCTCTCAAGGCTCAGAATGATTTAAAGTTTCTATTATTGTTGATTTTTTTCTTTTTCTTTCTTTCTTTCTTTTTTTTTTTTTTTTTTTTTTTTTTTTTTTGAGTCAGAGTCTCTATCACAGTGGCGCACTCTCAGCTGACTCTCACCTCTGCCTCCTGGGTTCAAGCCATTTTCCCACTTCAGCTTCCCACGTAGCTGGGACTACAGGCACGTGACACCACGCCAAGATAATTTTTAAATTTTTTGTAAAATGAGGTCTCATTATATTGGCCAGGCTGGTCTCAAACTCCTGGGTTCAAGAGATCCTCTCACCCTGGCCTCCCAAAGTGTTGGGATTACAGGTGTGAGCCACTGCGCCCAGCCTAATTTAAAGCTTTAACAGCTTTAACTTAGAATTCTTTCACAGGCGAGTAAAATCATTTGAAAATGGGGAGCACATTACAGGTGGAAGAGTGCCTTTTGAAGGTTCAGTCTTAGAAGTGAGCATGCTATATGTTACCATAAGAAAACAAATGTGCTAAAATTTGTTTTAGGAATTTTAAAACAAGGGTTTTAAAATTAAATTGGTATTCATTGAAAAATATACAAACTGTGCCCTTTATACTAAAGTGCATTCAGTTGTAATGTTTAGGCCCCTAAATTCCTTCTGTATGTTCTCTAATTCCAAAATAGTGTTTAACAATATACTATTAATCATCTATCTACTTTAATATTGACCTTTGGGAATACAGTAGAATCTGGGCTATTATCATGTGGACCATTTCAGGGTAAGGAAGCCCTGGTCACTGAGGTGCTTTTAAAGATCTTTTTTTTTTGTACTTAGCATCTTCTGAAAATACTGGAATTGCCAGATTTTAGCCTTCTGGTGTAAATCAGAATATGAGGATTTGCTGGTCAGGCGCTGTGGCTCATTCCTGTAATCCCAGCACTTTGGGAGGCTGAGGCAGGCGGATTATGAGGTCAGGAGTTCAGGACCAGCCTGACCAACACAGTGAAACCCAATCTCTACTAAAAATACAAAAATTAGCTGGGTGTGGTGGTGTGTGCCTGTAGTCCCTACGACTTGGGAGGCTGAGGCAGGAGAATCACTTGAACCCGGGAGGCAGAGGTTGCAGATCACCACTGTAGCTTATTTTGACACCTGATGAGGTCAAGCATTTTTCTCAAGTGATTCCCAGATGAGGAAGGGAATAGCAGCTCAGGACACATGTGTACAGATGTGTAATCTGCCTTTTTGTGAGTAGTTTTAATCAGTAGGTAATCTACTGGCTTACATAATACCTGTGCAGGAAGGTTGCAGATCATGCCACTGCACTCCAGCCTAGGTGACAGAGCAAGACTCCATCTCAAAAAAAAAAAAAAAAAAAAAAGATTTGCTAACTTAGTGCTTTTTCTTTTAATGACAGTCTAGGAACATATGCATCTTTACATGGAAGAATCTATTGTAAGCCTCACTTCAATCAACTCTTTAAATCTAAAGGCAACTATGATGAAGGCTTTGGGCACAAACCACACAAGGATCTGTGGGCAAGCAAAAATGAAAACGAAGAGATGTTGGAGAGACCAGCCCAGCTTGCAAATGCAAGGGAGACTGCTCACAGCCCAGGAGTAGAAGATGCCCCTATTGCTAAGGTGGGTGTCCTGGCTGCAAGTATGGAAGCCAAGGCCTCCTCTCCGCAGGAGAAGGAAGACAAGCCTGCTGAAACCAAGAAGCTGAGGATTGCCTGGCCACCCCCAACTGAACTTGGAAGTTCAGGAAGTGCCTTGGAGGAAGAGATCAAAGTGTCAAAGCCCAAATGGCCTCCTGAGGATGAAATCAGCAAGCCTGAAGTTCCTGAGGATGTTGATCCGGATCTGAAGAAACTACGACGATCTTCTTCACTGAAGGAAAGAAGCCGCCCATTCACTGTAGCAGCTTCATTTCAAAGCACCTCTGTCAAGAGCCCAAAACCTTTGCCTTCACCTATCAGGAAAGGCTGGAGCATGTCAGAGCAGAGTGAAGAGTTTGCAGGCGGAATAGATGCTGAAAAGAAACAAGTGGAAAATGCCAAGGCTTCCAAGAAGAATGGGAGTGTGGGAAAAACAAGTTGGCAAAACAAGGAATCTAAAGGAGAAGAGATAGTGAAGAGAAGCAAGGAAGGTCATAGTTTGGAGATGGAGAATGAGAATCTTGTGGAAAATGGTGCCAACTTCGATGAGGATGATAACAGCTTCCTCAAACAACAATCTCCACTAGAACCCAAGTCTCCAAATTGGTCCAGTTTTGTAGACAACACCTCTGCTAAAGAATTCACTACTCAGAATCAGAAATCCCAGGATATGGGATTCTGGGAGGGAGAAGTGGTCAAAGAGCTCTCTGTGGAGGAACAGATAAAGAGAAATAGGTATTACGATGAGGATGAGGATGAAGAGTGAAATTGCAATGGTGCTGGGCCTTAAATTCATGTTAGTGTTAGCGAGCCACTGCCCTTTGTCAAAGTGTGATGCACATCAGCAGGTATCCCAGCAGGAAATGTAATTTACTTGGAAGCAACTTTGGAAAAGAATTCCTTCTAAAAAACAAACAAAAAAAACCCACCCCTACTGCAGGTTAAGTGAACCACTTCTAAATGCTAGAGATAACTTTACTTAAATTCTTCATTTTAGCAGTGATGATATGCATAAGCGCTGTAAGGCTTATAACTGGGGAAATAGTCCACATGATAATAGCCCAGATTCTACTGTATTCCCAAAGGTCAATATTAAAGTAGATAGATGATTAGTAGTATATTGTTAAACACTATTTTGGAATTAGAGAACATACAGAAGGAATTTAGGGGCCTAAACATTACGACTCAATGCACTTTAGTATAAAGGGCACAGTTTGTATATTTTTAAATGAATACCAATTTAATTTTTTAGTATTTACCTGTTAACAGATTAAGTATTTAGTCTTTAAACTTTTTTAGATGAATTTTCTTGCTATGACATATATGAGGAATTCCTGATCTCTAAACGACACCCTCAACTCTGCATCCTGAGGTATAACACAGCCATCTTTTCAGAGCACTTTTTGAGGCAACTGAAAAAAACAACCTCCATTCTTTGGTGCTTGGAGAGATCTACCATCTCCCAAATAAGCTTTTGTATCTGCCAATGAATTTACCGTACTCCGAATGATTGCTTTCTTTACTGGTGATATCTGTGCTTCTCATAATTTACTGAAAGCTGCAATATTTTAGCAATACCTTTGGGATCACTATCCCCCATGTTCCATGTTAGAGCAAACCGAAGAGTTTAAAGGAGGACTGCCTTACATCGCTTGAGCTCAGACCTCTGAACCCTGCATTTCACTCCTGATGTCCCCTTTTTGAGTCACTAATTTTTAAATACTTATTAGCTCTGAAATGTATTGATTTTGATCGCAGACAGTATTCCCAGGGTGAAATTAAACCAACTATAGGCCTTTTTCTTGGGATGATTTTCTAGTCTTAAGGTTTGGGGACATTATAAACTTGAGTACATTTGTTGTACATAATTGATATTCCAAATTGTATGTATGGAAGGGAGAGGTGTTTGAAGCTGTAGGCTTTTCTTTCTACTGCATTTATAGAGATTTAGCTTTAATATTTTTAGAGATGTAAAACATTCTGCTTTCTTAGTCTGGCTTAGTCTGAAACATTTTTATTCAATAAAGCTTTTAATTAAAATTTGAACTTTTCAATGTTTCTCTTCCATTATTTTCTTAACATTGTTACCGTCTCTCAGGATCTACCTGTGCAATTTTGGAAGAAAAAAATGGTACTACTATTTTAAGTTTTAGGTGAAGAGAAGCACCATCAATTCATGTCACCACTAGGTGGTAGTGTTGGGCTGATCGTGGGTTTCAATCCTCCCTGAAGGAAGACAAATTTTCCTGGAAAATTGCAAGCAACTTGGCAAGAGAATTAATGTGTGCATTCAAAATGAGCTATTTTACCAATTCGAAATCCAGTGGTGATTTTTATTGTTTACCACACTCAACATTGAATAATTCACCTTACAATTATGCCTAGCATACTGAATGAATTTCCAAATGTCTCTGCTGAAAATGGACTTGTTTTGGATGCATGCAGTGGCTCACACCTGTAATCCCAGCACTTTGTGAGGCCGAGGTGGGTGGATCATGTGATCAGAAGTTCAAAACCAGCCTGGCCAAGATGGTGAAACCCCGTCTCTACTAAAAATACAAAAATTAGCCAGACTTGGTGGTGAGCACCTATAGTCCCAGCTACTTGAGAGGTTGAGGCAGGAGAATTGCTTGAACCGGGAGGCAGAGTTGCAGTGAGCAGAGATTTGGCCACTGCACTACAGCCTGAGAAACAGAGCGAGACTCGGTTTCAAAAAAAAAGGACTTGTTTTTCACTCTAGACGGATACTTTTTCCTTTTTTAAAAAGGTAAGTGTTCACACCAAGTGGGCAGATGGATATTTGATTGTTTGATATCCTTGCCTGTAGAAGCAACTGCCCCAATTGTTAAGGCTTTTTTTTTTTTTTTTTAATTTGTAGGATGGAAATATGGATTTCCTTGGAGAGTAAGATATGCTTTTTGAGTCATCTGTTAAATTTTCCAGGGTCCCTGTGTGTTCTAGAGTCTTCCCTGGTTTTCTGAGTGGTTGGTAGGATACTACTTTCTGCTCTTACCCCCACCCAAGAGTAAAGTCATTTAAAGATCTGTGTTCACTGAACAGTTAATCCAAAAGCTCCTACTGATATAAAATATCCAATCCTGGCTTGAACTTCTGTGACTTGCATTTTACTCTAATCCATCCACATGGTACTCACGTTATGCACTGACTTTATACAAAAAAGTCTAAGTGCCTGTGGATATCAATTGAGTGTGTCACCACTTGGGGACTGAGATTACCCTTAGAACTCTTTTCAGCCTGGCACAGTGGCTCACACCTATAATCCCAGCACTTTGGGAGGCCAAGGTGGAGGGATCACGAGGTCAAGAGTTCAAGACAAGCCTGGCCAAGATGGTGAAACCCCATCTCTACTAAAAATACAAAAATTAGGCAGCGGTGGTGACAGGCACTTGTAATCCCAGCTACTTGCAAGGCTGAGGCAGAGAATTGCTTGAACCCAGGAGGTGGAGGTTGCAGTAAGCCAAGATCGCACCACTGCACTCCAGCCTGGGCAACAGAGTGAGACTCCAACTCAAAAAAGAAAAAAGACTCTTTTCTACACTTTTCAAGGTAAGATAGACATATCATGGTTACACAGAGTAGGAACAAGGAATAGCTTCAGAGTCATGTAAAGAAAGGATGTCCAGGCCGGGCGCGGTGGCTCAAGCCTGTAATCCCAGCACTGTGGGAGGCCGAGGCGGGTGGATCACGAGGTCAAGAGATCGAGACCATCCTGGTCAACATGGTGAAACCCCGTCTCTACTAAAAATACAAAAAATTAGCTGGGCATGGTGGCGTGTGCCTGTAATCCCAGCAACTCAGGAGGCTGGGGCAGGAGAATTGCCTGAACCCAGGAGGCGGAGGTTGCGGTGAGCCGAGATCGCGCCATTGCACTCCAGCCTGGGTAACAAGAGTGAAACTC